TGTATTCCATTTATTTCAACAAAGTAACTGTATTCTGAATACCACCTTTTTAAACGGTAACTGTAACGGAATACAGTTACTCATATTTTGTATTCTAAATACGTAACGGCGGTACATGTATTCCGTTACTCCCCAACACTGCTTGTGGCACCTGCCACCTGGTTAGACTTCTTATGTCAGGTCATGATGATGGAGTTGAATATTAACAGTATCAGTATCTGGGAAGATTTGGGAGATTAAATATAATGTATTTGAAAATACTCTTAATGTATATAGATCATTTAGAGATTACTCTAGTTGTTTTTCCTTTTTACCTGAAAGGTGCTATAAATAATAACTTAATTATAAGTAGGTACAGCACTAGGAACGATTTATCAGAAAGACCTCAAAGGGTGATGCAATGTAAACTCAAAGAGCCACTCATTACAACCAGGTTATACAGAAGAGCATCTCTAAGTGCACAATACATCAAAAGAAGCAAACAAAGCTTCAAATGACGCGTCAACTATTAAATCAGTCGTCGATTTTGATAGTCGACTAATCGTGGCAGCCCTATTGGTAATACTGAACTACATATCAATAGAAGCGCAACACCTAATATAGGTCATGGATAATGCATTAGTCTTTTCAGTTTCTGCTGTTGAAACTAGTAGTCATCATTTTCTGAGAGGAAGAGTCTCTGATTGATGAGTTATTTTCAGGTTGAGATTTTGACCAGGCCATCGCCACAGACCACAGGAAAATAAATACACCTGTGAAGAGAGAGACATAGTTTGTCAGTTCTTCTAGTAAATGATCAAAGTCCAGTTAATCCTTGACATGATGATCGCATACTAACCTTGAAGGGAGTTCAATACGGTGAATATGTAGATCCCAGCGAGTGAAACGTATGTAGTGCTGGCTAACCCCCAAGGTAACCCAAGCACACAGCTGAGGCCCAGCACTGTGACACAGTCCTTCCATAACCTCTTCTTTCTCTCTTTGTTTATCTTCTTCCAGTCACTGCTGCTTCCAAAGCTTCTATCACCCCTTCTTAGCTCCAACATCTTAAACACCACCAGCCCCAGCATGCAGGCATTGAACACAACCACCAAGAAAGGAAAGGCCACGGTAGTGATGTAGCTGACTACGAGAAGCTTTTGTTCAGACTCGTTGCTCATCCAGCACCTGCTCATTAATAAAGAAATTAAAAAAACAGCATGAATTTGCTAAGAAATAAAATCTCCTGGCTCACTCTAATATTAAGTGATATCAAAGATAGTTTCTTACATGTGTTGTGTTAAATTGCTGTTGCTGTATTTCAGAGTGTATTTGCCATAAACACGTGAAATCCCACAAACAGCTGCAACCAGTGTAGGAAAACCTGAAAACATGGAAGACAGAATTAATGTCAGCTGAATGTTCTTTAGGACAGCGTGAGGCATTATTGTCACTTTTTCTCTGCTGTAAGGTCCCTTTTCAAGCTTTTCCAGCACATTTACCCCCCAAAGAATGCAAATTTCAGTTCGCATCACCTCAGTAAGACCATGTGAAAATTAAAACAAATCATCCAAGGTGAACTTAAACATCTTTGTTGCCCTTTTGTTAAGACATAGAAAAACGCACCAGACAAACATACTGCAAAAGGAAATGGTCGCCTTAAATGCATATATTGTATAAACTCAAAATGCGCATTTCACTTAAGAATTAAGATGTGAAAATGTGATCAGATCAACTTGTTAGATATTCATTTCCTATTGAAAAAAACAAACAAAACAGAAATAAATATTGATGCTTCTTTCCTGTATGACACAAAAAATAGGAGACAGATGTTTGTTTGTTTTTTAAGTTAATTCCTAATAAAACTAACTGTAAGATGTTTAACTACATTGCTGTCTGCATTATTGCTGAAGTCCTAAATGATCACCTTTAAAGTGTTTGTGCTAATAACATCATGTACAGTCAGACAGGCATGGAGAACAGCACTGACTGCAAGAGGCTTTGAATAGATCACATAGTTCAATTCAATATATAAGACTTTAAGAACGCACAAGCATCTACTTAAATTTTTTTATTTAATCTATCATCTATGATATTATCACGTACAATTCTAATGCATTGTGGCGAGCTCAGACAAGGAGGAGACAGAGGGATCGTTTGGTCTTGCTTCCCACAGAGTTAGCCAGGGAGCACAGCCGTTTATTAGCATTCAACAGGAAACACAACGCTGCTAACTCAACTGCTCGGCGTAGCTCTAGCATAACAACAACCACAAGAAAAAGGCGCTCTCTCCACCCAGAAACACACAGTCGCAGAGAGAGAGAGCATCACCTGTAACCATGGCAACATAACGCTGCCGCCTGGAACAACAAAACATAGCTGTCAAACCCCAAACAGCCCTGACCCGCTACAGTATTTTGTTCATCTCCCTTAAATAAACAGGCAGCCTTAAAGTATGAAATATTCATTTATAAAAACACATATAAATGTATCTACTGTCTCAGTGGCTGAGACAGTAGATACAGGCCTTATTGTGGCCTCATTGTGAGCTTGAAGACATTTATAATGTTTAAGTAGTTTAATGTGTAGGTGCTGACAATAATCACATTGTGAATGAAGGCCGGGGAACTTTGGTAGCACGGAAACAAGTAGCTATTCTTTGTGACCATATGGATCGGTCCCTCATATTACCATTATTTCACCCAAAGGCACTAAGTTAATACTTAAAAAAGCTGCAGAAATACATAGAAATATAAACAGTACTTGGTGACAACTTTGCTTTTAGCCTTTAACCCTCTGGGGTCCAGGGTATAATTGGCCATTTTTGACTACTTTTTATTTGGTGTCTATATTTCACCTTTAAAAACGATTTATCTTGCCCATCTGTTATGTTCTCATTTTGACATACTGTATAAGCACAACTGATCTAAATTCAGACTTGAAATGCAAATAGAAATTGTGCATTTAAAAAAATATGCACAAGTTTTGCAAACAACAAAGTTATATGGTATTATTTACACCCAAAAATGCAACCAAGGCTCAGACGTTTTTATATAACCATTTAAAACTACTTACAGAACAGTAAGGTGTTCTGCACCAAATAGGAAGGCACACAAATTGTTTATACAACTCCAAAAAATAATTTGTATCCACTAAGACAGAGGAGAACAGCACAGGGATAAACCTGCAGGTCTGACAGCAGGTGTGTCACTCCTGTTTTCCACCTGGAGACAGCGTTTACACTGCGATCTGCCTTTTGTGGCTTTTTTGCAGCAACTGTGACATTCTCTAGTAGAAGTGACACACAAAACAAAACAACGACTACACTACACACTAACTACACAAGATAACACACTTGAGACTCCAAACATGGTAAACGTCACAAATCTATCACGTATCTATCAAAACTCACTTTCTCTTTCTTTCGCTCACTTGCTCTCTCTCGCTGGTGTCACTCCTAAAACTTCCCCCTCTTCCTAAACAACCAAATGCCAAATTTTTTGATTGGTCAAAATGGTACATTTTTCAAACCAATAGGGAAGGAGTATTTTTTCTTTTCCTTTTTTTCACTCCCAGGCTGAGAGTGATTGCTAGTGCTGTTTGTTCCCCCTGCAAACACCACTGTTTTATTAAGAAAAAAAACATTGCGTGTATTTTTTATCATACCTCTGGTTTTACATGGCCGATCAACACAATTTAAAAACTGGTGTATAGTTTGAAGTCCGCACTTTCGACCCAAATTGACATTTTGTTTTTACATTTTGCGACTCATTTTATTTCTCTATCTGATAAGAAAAGTATTCAATCAGAAAGTTATTTGTGGTGAATGACATAAAATTACACTTTCAAGCACTTTTAAGCACCACATCTGAAATTCAAGCACTTTTCAAACCTTGAAAAGACAATATTAAAATTCTATCATTTTCAAGGATTTCAAGCACCTGTACGAACCTTGTCCTTAAAATTTTGTGCCCCATGCTGACTGCACAGGTGATCTTACCAACAGCTGTTGATTCTAAACAACAGAATAAATTAGAATGACTAAAGCTGAACAATATACGATCGTCCATATCAGATCGTCTGTTTCACAGTATTATTATCTGAACTTAAAACACATCTCTCTTAGACAGCCCTTTCAGTTAAGGCCTAATTTATAACAGTGTCATTTAATTACTTTTAAAATACATACAAGAAAATTCATTTGCCCTAGTGTTTGGTCAGTGTCTGTTGTGCTTAAATACAGGGAGTGCAGAATTATTAGGCAAATGAGTATTTTGTCCACATCATCCTCTTCATGCATGTTGTC